GGCAGCATAAGAGTTCGATTGTGCATTCACACCTCCCAAAACGAAGCGGACTTTCTACGACAATCAAACTAGATTTCAATTAAAGTGGACTAAACAGAGCTGGTGTGAATGCACTCCAAGTTTCTCTTGAAGCCACAGCCAAGAAATAGTAAAGTAGCACTGCTTCAGACTGAAGCGATCTGAAAAGAAATGTTCTCACACTTGCTACAAACGGTGAAAAAGTTTTAACCTAAATATTTAATCTGAACACCCAGGAGCATAAATTCCTGATGCTGTGAAGCGCTCTGCTGCGCCGCTTCACTGGTCAGAGAAATAAAACCATCTCCAGGCTCCTCTCCTCACATTTACATTTCGTTGTGTCTTAGTGTCTCTAGAGGGACGATAGAGGAAGAGGACAGATGGCCTCAATCTGGAGACAGAAACGCTGGTAGAAGGAGGACCAATTAAAGTCATTTTATGTTCGTAAACACAAGCTACTCCGGATCAAGTTCAGAATATAAAACAGAATCGGCTGTGCGAAAACAGGAATTTGTTCAAAGGTAAGTTTTCATAACTCCATTTGTTTTTTGTTTTTGTTTTTTTTGCATGCTGAACTTGATGGCCAGGTCCTAGTCGAACCATTTCGACAGAGCTCTGTGTGAACTGTTGTCAGTGGTTAGTTGCCTAAATGATTTTGTCTGAGATATTTATAAAACCCTGTTAAGTAACAACTTCTGCCACATTTAGTGAAGTGATGCTCCTCTTTATACAAATAACTACAGACTGCTCAGAGCAGGAGGGATAGACCTTTTTTTTTCAGAGATGTAGCACGAGTAAAAGCTGACGTGAAGCTACATGCGGCTGCAGAAGTAAATATGGATGCTACATATTGTCAACACATACGGATCGATTAACAAGTGGTTGTGCACTCAGAGCAGACTGCTGCCGCGCTTCTTTGATCCATTTTTACTATTGATCTCAGCGCTTTACGCCTCCTCTTTTGCAGAACTGCAAGTCTGTCGCAGAAACGAGCCAAGAGTTCGATGACCAGTCAGACGGAGGTTGCTTGAGAAAAACATCAAATATGAATCCCATTCAAGACAACATATGGATATGGCCAGGATCTGACCTGAATAAATGCATAAAAATAAGAAAAACCCATTTTAAAAAAATGTATCTGGGTCACACGTGTACAGAAAAGTCGGACTCAACGTAGCAAGAATTTAAAAGTGAAATCCACGAGTTTCTAATCTGGCAGATCAGACCTCTTATTACTCCGTTTTGCCACCTCTGGTTTCCATAACGACAAAAGATTACACAGCCTATTATTGATGTGGCTTGAGTGCTAGTCTCAGTTTTATCTCTTTCATCTGTTTGTTTTGTACAAACGCAAATCAGTTCTACCTAAAACAGAAACATAGCACTCACAATGACTGTCTTGTTTTACTCAGTAATCTGTTTATCACATTAGCAGTGTTATATGTTTAACAAAAATATAGTTGCAATGATATTTTTTTCCACTTACTTAAATATCTTAAAGAAAAATAGGACTGATCAAAAACTAGATTGTGTTTTTATTGGTATAAGTTCATCTAAATGCTGTTCTCTCACATGTTGAGAGTTCATTTTTTTCCGGTTTTCCTCCAAAATGATTTATGAACAACATCCGAGTGCAACAATTAAAACTCCATTAATACTCAGACTGTATGGGATGAATGGGATTCGCTGAAAACCAACATACAGCTGAACCGTGCACTCAAATGTGTTGCTGGGATCAATTATGTCATCAGAGAAAACTTAGCTAGTTGAACAAGAACTACTTGGAAGATGTAAACAGTCGACTCTTGTCGAGATCCCGGCTCTAAATTAGAAAAAAAACAAAAAACAAAAAGGCATCTCGACTTCTGTGAAAGCCGTGTAAACGAAAACGGCGAGAGAAATCCCTCGACGGCTCCCACTGCATGTCGAGCAGAGGATCTGAGGAACAGCAGCTCATTTTGCTTTTACTGGCTAATTATTATGTAATAAGCCTGCATAGTGTGATTACAAACCAGGAAGAGAGATTTCTACCCCTTCTTTTTTTTTTTTTTTTTTTTTGGTTATTGTAATGTGTGGGGATTTGACAGAGAGCGCTATAAAGCTAAATGACCCGTGTCGTACCGCGGTCTGCTGGTGGGGGGGAGTGAGAGAGAGTGAGAAGGTCACCATGTGGGCAGAACAAAATACATCCCAGTTAAAAACGAGTGCTTCAACCACCAATCCAGACTGGAACGGTGGGCTGGGTCAATTCCATCAAACAGCCCCCCCCCCCAGTCCGCCCCCGCCTGTACACCGCCCTGGGCTCTGCGTCGAGCTCGTTCTGCAAAAGCACGGTCTGCACACACACCACAAGCAGTTTTCAGCTCGTTTCGGAGCCACAGGAGAGGAAAGAGGAGAACGTCGCGTCATCCGAACCGAAAGAGTTTTTAAACAGACACGCCGTTTTGTGTCGCTCAGGCACACGTTGGCTTCAAGGGCTGCAAAAAAGAAGAAGAAAAAAATCCCATTCATCTAAAGTCTGCAAGAAAACCCCCGCTCTGGTACTTCTCCCTGCAACAATGCATCCATCAATCATCGTAACACCCCTCGCTGTGAGCTGATTTCATCTCTGACACCTTTTCTTGTTTGCGTGTGTGTGTATGTGTGTATAGAGTGTGTGGGCTTTGTCGTAGTGTCAAATTAATGCTTCATCTGAGCCATGCCATTCGAGCCCTGACTTTACTGGAACCCACCCCCATCCCTCCGCCTCAACTCTCGCTCCAAAGTCGTCCAAATCTGGAAGAAAACATCTGGGGTCGCAGTTCACGATGTCAGGAAAACACGCAGCTGTCATGTTATTGTTGAGTATCGCAAACGACTGTCAAATATCCAGAACTCTTGAGGTCTAGGACCACTGATAAATATATAAGGACTAGAGAAAAGAAGCGTGTGGTTTTGCGCCCACTGATGTCACCGTGTGATTCCACGCGGTTTAAGTTTGGGGTCATTTCACTGAATTCGAAAACAGAAAGTGCTATTTTGCCTGGGTTGATGTTGTATTCTCACGGTACAACCTTGAGTAAAAATACCACAGTAAGTTGGTCTAATTCTGTATCGTTTATCATTTATCGCGATGAAGCTCAAATTCTGATTTGTCGTCTTCACGATAAATTCCAATAAATGATGTTTTGTTCATTCTTCCAAAACTGTCGGTATTGTCTAGATTGTTCCTTTTACTATTTTCCTCCAGTGTTTGTTCATTGAGAATATCAATGAATATCAACAAATTTGAAAATGTGATTAAATGCAGTTACCGTGTGCAGCTTAGAGACACAAATCACACTTATTATCATATTACAAGTGGGAATGTTTCCAAAGTGTTTCTGTTTGTGAGGCAATGATTGTCGAAAAAGTAGTAAATATACATAAAAAATAGTTTTTATTGTTGCTTTTATCGTTGGTACCACAAACAGTACCAGAAAACATCATGATAAACTTTAAGCCCAGGTTGCACACCCAAGTACTAAAACAATTTTACTATTAACAAATACTATCTTCATTCCTACATAGGTAAATTTAAGGAAAATGTGTTTAATGCAGAATATTGCCACTTGAAATATTTCCAAAAAGTTAAATCTGTCTTTCAGCCAGTTGACCAGCAATGTACAGCAAAAAGCGCTATGTTAGGGATTCTTCTTGCATCTCATTAAACAATATTTGAACTGTAGAAACAAGAGAAGCAGCAATCAAACCCAACACTGGATTCTGGCTTTGTTTAAAGCCTGACCTGCAAACTCAGATTTGAGGGAAAATTAGTTTGTTTTCTTAAGAGCTGTGACATATTAAAGCAATAAAGAAGAAGAAGAAAAAAAAGTTGATTCCTCCCTGATGCATGAAGCAAAATCAAAGCTCATGTTGATGTCAATCTGCTGCTACGACTTAAAAATCCTAGCAGGTGAAAACATTTTTAAAAACTCTGGCGTCATCTCTGCAGAAAACCAGCTACAAGTAACTGAGTCAGGATTTTTGTTTTCCACTGAATGTCCTTTCCATTCGCCCAACATGTATACAGTTACAGGACATCCAGCTCACTTCCACCGTGCATCACAATACCGTGTGCAAACATGCACTGCCTTTGCTTTTTTAAAAGCTTGCGAGACTAACACGCCGATGAAAGAGGAAAATCACCAGTTATGCATCAACCGTATTTGATATACACACATACACCTGCATGATGGCAGTCACTGTATCTCTGCTTCTCTATTTTTCTTCAAATATCCCCCTGGGAGTTTAGAGCAGCTGCAGAGAGAGAGAGAGAAAGAGAGGAAGAGAGAGAGAGATGTCCAACAGGGGAGGAAAAAATGATGCACAAAAACAAGAAACAGCAGCCATGTGACAAATGGTCCATCACTGGAGGCTTTTTACTCCAAATACGGAACCACCGTCGTTCTTCCCTCACACAAACACTCAAGCCATTTCAGTCCCCATGGGTAAACAGCGCTCTGTCATCCCTCTCTATAAGGTCACACAACTTCCACCATTCCCACTCTCTGCGGAACACACCGAGCGCAAGCTGCGTTTGCTCTCCCACCACTAACAGCGTAATGATCCGCATGCAATCAACAGCCCATTGCCACCTAACCCGCACGACGCTGCAACAAAACAACCCGAGCACACACACACACCAAAAAAATTATAATAATAATAATAATAACACACATACACCTATCTGTGCCCGAAATAAGGACGGACGCCTTGCTTGTGCTGGAAACTGCCAAGTAATTTTCCGCCGCAGAGGCTGACAATCCTTTACATGAGCTGTTTACATCTAAAACTTGCCTCGGTGTCATGAGCGAGCATCTACACGAAATCTACCTTTACGCTCCACCGAAAGCCACAAAACTGTACAGATTTTCTTCTTGTCGTTGCGCAGTCAATGTGTTACGTCTATAACGGTGTCAAAAGTCAACCTTCTTCGTGTAAAAGAAAAATTGAGCACTTACTGTGGTGTGAATGTAGGTTAATGGCCGATGGGAGAAATTTCCCGGAGTGGAGAGGCGGCGGGTGGCTCGCGCCCAAGTGGCCGGGCGAGGGAGGGATCCTCCCGGCCGCCGCCGCTGCTCCGAGTCGGTGAGACTCCATGGCGAGCCCCGCCAACAGCGGCGGGGGGACGTGGACGGATCGAGGAGGACCGAAATCTCTGCCATCCATTATCCACAGATGGGAAAGTTGTTGCACAAAAATGCGTCCGTTCGGATAGGTCCCGGAGAATTAAAAAAAATAAAATAAAAGCCAATTCTGGCTATAATAGTGTCTTTAGTTTCCCAGGCGATTCGGACTCCTTCTCAGCCATACTGCTGACCTATATATATATATAAAAAACACAAGATAAACATCACTCGATGCAGAATCCTACAGCAGACCAAAACTATGCTTTAGTTTCGGGATTTCTCTCTTTTCCAGCGACAAGGCGGCCCATACCCAGCAATGACGCAGTTTATAAAAACACTTCAAAAACTACATTCGCGATAAAAGCTGCAGTCGAGCGTGGACCGACCGAGCTGCCCCCGGTTGTATACTAACTGCAGATTAAAACAGGAGTCAAACTTAACGTGTATAATTTAATGTTTCAATGCCTGAACGGTACTCCACCTCCTCCTCCGCCGCCGACGCCCCCCTCCAACCCCGCCGCACACCGAGCCATGCAAGCCGCCCTGGAGCTCTGCAGGAGCGGCCAGCTGCTCTGCGCTCGCCGCGAAAACGACACCGGATCCCGCTACAGAAACGTAAAACGCTCCGCTCTCTCTCTTTTTTTTTAATTGTTATTATTTTTTGAAACAAATTATCTACTTTACATACATCCGACTCTCCAGCTGCCTTCACGGCTATCTTGGAGAGGGGTGGGGGAATGTAAACCAATAGTCTGTCCATAAATACTAAAGGGCGCATCAAATATAAATTTCAAACGGTTTAAAAATAAATAAGGTTGAAGGAAAAAAAGAGCATGCATCATTAAACAGCAAGGGGTTAGCGGTGTTTTGTTGCCCACGCATGTAAATTTAGTACGGTGTTGCTTGACCAGTGGACATGGGTGCTGGCCAGAACCTACCTAGATTGAACATCTACCACCTGAAATGTGACTGAATCTTCACATTAGTAGCACTTTGTTATTTTATTTACAATTTGGAGCATCGCAGCGACGCTGATGTTGTAGTTCGAAGAAGTAAAATGTTTGTTTTTTTTTAACCGAATTTTGATTGGACATTATTTCCCTGTATTACGGAAATCTGCATTAGTCTGTAATAATAATCTTTTTTTCTTTAAATGACTCGATTATAAAAAGTTAGTTAGCAAGAAGCTGCGACGTTAATCCAAACAATGTGCTAGAATGGTCTCGTCGTTTTAATCACTAATGTGTGTGAGAGAAAAAAGAAACTAATTGGAAGTTATAATTAAAAATTTATTTCAAAACAAACCTAAATTCACCTTAAGAGGCTACAGGAAAACACATTACACCAGCGACTCGTGATATCCAGGCGGGCGGGATCAGAAGAGAGCCTCGCTCGGAAGAAGAAGAAGAAGAAGAAGAAGAAGAAGAAGAAGAAAAACAATGACCCTTTTTTTCTGTCCTTTTTATGAAAACATACTAGACAAATGTTGCCTTTAATGCCTCTGAAAATGAGTTACAGTGTTTCCAACTCGGGTCTGAGCCCCTGCGGCACGGCGGCGGTGGCGGTGGCCGCAGCGGCGGCAGCAGCGGGCGGAGGAGCTCGGCATTTCAGCCACGTTTCAAACTTTTCTCGTTTCCATTAAATACGCAGAGAAACTTTCTCGGAGGAAACGTCTTGAAAGCGACGGACTAAAGCAAACATGTCGAGCGTAGAAAGAAACACATAACCTCCGCGCCCTTTTGCTCGCCTTTTTTTTTTTTAAACAACCTAATTTCGGTTTTAAAACACCGACACCAGTTTTTTTTTTTTTTTTTTTTGCTGGAAAAAGAAAAGCCGAAAAACTAAAAAAAAAGGAAAAATAACACTCCGAGCGCTTACTTCTGCGGAAAGAAATGTCGCGGAAGAGAGCTAAATAAATGCAAACCTTTCTCAAAATTCATCCAGGCTGCTGGAAAAACTGGAGTAGTCCATTACAGGCTGGTCCGAAGGTAAACTGGGGGGATAACTTGGGGGGGAGAGAAAGCCCCTGACGCGTCCTCCTCAGCAATGAAACACAGCATTGTTTTACAAGCCCCGCCCACCTCCTTCACTACCACACAAACCCTGTACGTTTCAAATAGCCGCTCTCTGATTGGCTGAGCAGCTTGTCAATCAATGTCCCTGGTGCATTGAAAGAAAAAACGCACTCTGGCCGCTCGCCAGCACTATAAAACCAATTATGGAGCAAGGAGGCAGAGCAGTTTCAAGGTCCCCTCTCCCTTCAAGACTGAGCGATCAAAACAAGGAGAGGGACTAGTTTTCAGAGGGGAGGGGGTGTGTTTAGCTATGGAGGGCGGTGGGGAGGCTTTACAGTGGACCTCAGTTCTCATCAGGAGAAGAGAGTGAATAATTAATGATTAACCCGAGTAATGAATGACTTTCTTTGCTTTTTCATTTCCTTTCAGAAGGAATCGGATCGACATGAAGGCTTATCTTTAGCTTTTGAAGCGTTTTCTCGTGAACACAGCGTTCTGGGCAATTTTAGCATTCAATACTGATGACCACACCTAAAAAAATTTCCTGCCCCCATCTACCAACAGTGATGGTTTATGATACAGGGTGTGGAGCTCTTCACCCAGGGTGTTCTTGCTTTACGGGGTGGCACCAATGCTCCAAAACAAAGTGATCTTTCTTTATCTCTACTGTAAAAAATAATAATAATAATAATAATAATAATAAAGAAATATGAGTGTGCACAGTGGGTGGTTCATAGGTTGATGATGCTAAAGTTCAGTGCTAATCTAAAGAGCTATTTCGCTGTAATCAAGGAATTTGAAATCATGAAATGCAGAATTGAGTCAGGCCAAAAGCAGAACAGATTGTTTAAATTAAACTTTGAGATCCTTTCAAACTCAGCATTTTTAACAACAGGGCAACCTTACATTTAGAAAATTGTAAAATTCATACCATCTATCTTTCATCTAAGTTTTTATTTCAGGGTACCAGAGGTCACTTATTAGTCCTTTATTTGATGTTCTACATCAGTGGCGTTCCCAACCTTTTGGGCTTCTAACCCACAAAATAACAGCAAATGGATTCATGACCCAAACTATTGGTTCCCGTTCTCATTGATCCACGACCACAAGTCGGGTTGCGAACCCAACGTTAGGAATCAGTGTTTCACCTTTTCTGGTACAAAATATAGTCATCTGGGACATTGCAGACAACTGGCACCCACCACCGTACTGTTTCTGCTGTAGTTTATAAGACGGAAAAGGGTCTAAATTGGGAACAGAACCAAAACAGAGTGAAATGACATGCAAACTGCACGCAGAGAGACCCACAGCCAGGATTCAAACTCAGAACCAAACATAAACGACAGTTTAGCATTTTTCTATTTATCTCAATGGTCTTTTCTCTTTTTTACATTTAACTTGCATAAAGTAGCTTGTTTACAGGGATTAAAAGGAAGTAGAAAGTGATGTTATTTTCCATCTGGCCCCTAATTTGAAAACTTTCTAGGAAAGCCCTTGTTGACAGATCTCCAATAAACCACAGTTGTGGCTTCGTGGTGAGAACAGCACAACATAAAGTCAGAGAAGATGGCTGCATGGGGTAGATTAGTGGAAACATATTGTTTTACCCTTTCTTTCTGAGTTGTTTACTATTATGCTCAGTCTTTAACCTTACATCAGGAAAAAAAAAACATAAACGAAGACAACGAGACATCTTATTGTGGGAATCGTGGTGGCATCTTCCATGAAGTCGTCTCTCGGCGTGGAATAAAGCCCGGCTTTGGGTATGTAAATGTGAAAAGCCCCGCAGGCTGTAGGTGACACAAGGCTGGGCGTCCAACTTGAGCGGGAACAAACACACGGACATTTGCATAAGAAGAGGAGTAAAAGTGCTGTAGCCTACTCATTTAGTAGTGTTATGTTAAAATTCGTGGTGGGGCAGAAAGGGGGGCAGGGGCTGCTAAATTCCCCCCAACATGACCTCACTGTTGACCGCATGGCCAGACAATATTTTGTTATCCATAAGTTTCCTTTGAACTTCCCCACGCTGCGTTACTTTCTTACAAAATGTTGATTAGATTGAGAGAGAGAGAGAGAGAGAGAGAGAGAAATGAAGCGGTTTCAAGTTGCCCGTACCTCTCTTCTGCCCGCCCCTCCTCCTCCTGCAGCCGGTCGGTTTCAAGGCGACCCGCCGATAGAGGACGGGAGACGGCTTCGGCGCGCAGCAGAGATAGTCGCCGGAGAAGCCGCGGAGGACGCTGCCTTCACAGCCGCTTTCTCACGGCGAAAGCGAGCGCTGCTGGTGCGGCTCCGAGCGAGCGAAGCGCCGATACCATCACCGCTCACCCCGCTGACCTGTCCGCTCGCTGCCTGCCCCTGTCACCCCGGACGGGACCCGGGGAGGGAATTACCAGGCGGAGATCAGAGTGATGTCCCGGTCCGGCCGGAGGGGCGGTGCAAGCCGGCCTTTGTTCTCCAAGTCGCCCTGACTGGGAATTCAAACAATGCCTTCAAATTAGCGCCCCATTGTTGCTCTATTTTCACCCCATGCGAAAGAGGGAGGCAGGTTTCATCCTCGTTTTGTTGTTGTTGTTGTTATTTCGTTGTTTTTTTTTTTTCTTTTTCTTTTTTTCATGTGAAATATGGCGGCGTCCACTGGGCTTTGAGGTGGGTGGCTGTGGATTTAAATTGGCGGCCTTTGTAACACTTTTAGTAATCTTCTCATTCATAATTCAGTAAAACGCTACAGCAGAAAACCTCTGTAGAGGTTTGTGAGAAAAGGCGAACTTTCTACAGAGGAATCACATTAAATCAGAATATCACCTAAAAGCTCATTTATGTAACTCGGTTATAAAAAAGGGAGCATTCTATTATTAGACACACGGTGACATATTTAAATTAAAATTCAGCTTTTTCAAATTCAGCAGTTCATTAAAAATATATAAGTGTAGTAAAAGAAATTGCTTTATTGCAGAAATGTTATATTGCACACATGATGGTCAGCAGACTGCTGACTAGCTTCCCATAACAGCTCACTGATAAAGAAGCTGAAGAAATATTGAGGGAAAGTTGAGTGGATGGGAAAACTCTGGGGCACAACTTGTGCAATCTTGGGAGGATTCTGAAACAAAGCTGCTCAATAGGTTATATTTCTGTATTAAAGTGTATTTTTTATTATTATAATTTCAAAATTTCTAATAATTTAAAATTTGGGTTTTCAATAGCTGTAAGCTACCTACATAAATCCCAGAAATGCAGGCAAATACGTCACTGTGTATAATATAAATCAGTGTTTGAGTTAAATTTTTTTTAATGGCATTCCGATTTATTGAGATACGCCTGCTAGATGCTAGATACACATTTATTGTGCTTGGAAATATTTAAACACACACACACACACACACACACACATATATATATATATATATATATATATATATATATATATATATCTTGCTTAAAATTATTTTAAAGCTCAGATGTTAAATCTGGCCGAATGTTGTAATTATTGATTTATTTTATTTTATTTTTTTCAAAAAAACCATCCAGAGAATTGAAAGTTTTGTTTTTAACTTTCGTTGTCTTTTTCCATACTTTTACTTATCTTTTCAATAATTCTCAGCGCTGAAATATTCCAGCAAAGCGCTTCCTCGTTCTGTTTATGCTGCTTGGATGACAATAAACTGATTTGATTTGCATCTGTCACTAAGATAATCTAATAAAACAATTTTAAAAAACTGCTTATCACACAGAACACGGACGTCTGCAGAAATCATTGCCTATAAAGTCATTTCATTTGAGCTTGTGAAGTGTAATTTCACTATGTTGCTTAGGGTGTAAAGTACAAAAGCTGGGGTTTATCACTCAATACGCATACAATTAAAGTGCAGAATAAATTCAGTGACAATGTTTTTTTGTTGGGTTTTTTTTCCCATTTATATACAATGTAGTTAACAGGTTAACTACATGATCAGACACTAAAACAAACCAGTTAGCTCCTAAAAGCTGCTGAATTATAAATTCCTTTAGCTTAACTCCATCAGGACTGTTTTCCTTGTGCTAACCGGAAGGCAGCAGGCCACTGTTTGGGTTAATTGTGTCCTATCACCTGGAGAACCGGGGATGTGACTTGATTTGTAGGTCAGACTATTGGATTTTCCCCAGTCATGCTGGGTGTATTAACCCACTGGGAACAAAGTGGGAGGAGCCAAAACATTCATTGATTCAGTCAGGAAGAGGTTTTTCACAGAGATGAGAAATGATTCACATTATTAGAAGGATTTCCTCTTGTGCCAATCACGACCCCTCAAAACCTTCATTGCTACAATACATCTGCAAGCAAAACTTAAATATATCGGCTTGGCAACAACCGGCTCTACCTTGCTAAAGTTTTCATAGTCAATCAGTGTGGGGAGAAGTCTTGTCTGCTGCCCTCTAGTGGCTACTCCACAAACTGTCTGAAAGGTTTACTCTGCACTAATCCGTCTCAAAATGAAAAATTTCTTCACATGAAGCATAGCTAATGTTGACTGGAAATGTTTTTAACTTCATCAGCTTTCTAGCTAAAGAACTGGATCTGACAGCATGATGAGGCCACTACCGTGCTTCTCTGTGGTGTTCCAGAAGGTTTGGTTACGCCTTTAAAAGAAAAATGCTTTAGTCTGGAAAGTCTCCTACTCCAATAAGTCTAAACTTTTTAGAGAATGCGTCAGATTGTTGTCAGCTGTAGAAAACGGGTCCATCGGTGTTGGGAACTTCCCTGCACGCCTTTCCCATCCAAACTTTCCATCGTTCTTGTAGAAATTTCAAGCTTTCACGTTTGTTTTCACGTGCTTTGATACTTATATAACAAGATCAAATTGTTTTGTATCCTTCCCCTGACTAATACCTTTGGACAATAAGATCTTTTCCACCCTTAATCTGTAAACTGTAGCTGCGCAAAAGTCAGGAAAATCACCCCAGAACAGCCCGAATCTAATTCCTGATTAATGAAATCTAGTAAAATAAGAGTGAAATTAAAACAAAAACCATGCATCCTCTCTGAGGTGTTTTTGAGATTCAAAGTATGAGTGGAGAGCGCCTGCCTGCCCTCAGGGCTGGATTATTCGCCAATCCACATCTCATGCACTGCACCAACAGCTGCACCAACAGCAATGCATATTTGTGATTAAAAGAAACAAACAAAAAAATCTAACCACACTGTCATGTTTTCAAATGCCTAAAGAAAGCAAATATTGCAGCTGACACCGTGTGACTCACCACACACACGCACACACACACGTAGAGACACGGCATACCTGCCAATCATCAGACGGTGTTTTCATGACGGACCACTTGTGAGGAGAAGAGGGGGGGAAGCTTTCTGCTGGAGGACAAGCAGCTGGCGTCAGATAGGCATGCAACCGCACGCAAAGCATTCAGATGACAAGACTGCTGAGAAAATCTTCATTTCCCTCCCCCCAAACTCTGACCACAGCATGTTGTCACTTGTGGTTTCAGCCTTATATGTTCTATAACTTATTAGCTGCTTATAGATGATTTGCTAAAAAAAAAAAAAAAAAAAAAAACAGAGAAATTGCTCACGCATGCCTGGTTAAAATGTGTGAAAAGCTTTAAATGCCTGTTTGAAGTACAGT